TGTCAGGATTCTTGCTCAGAAAAAGGATCAACATGCTCTGAAGTCAGAGCACAAAAACCTTTTTTGTAACAAAATATCGATTTCTGCTGTCCCTGTATCCATACATTATTAGCAAACAAAATATCACCATGCTACACAGTATCCATTTTTTCCCCCACCCCTAATGCCTAACCGTAACCTAATTGTAACCCTGACACTAAAACCACATTTTGAGTCTGAAAAATGCCTTCAAACTCGCGGGGACCAGGATTTTGTCCCCGTAAGGGCTGTTGGTCCCCACAAAGATATGTAAACACAGACACTAGGGTTGGAAGATATGTAAAAAAAAAAAAATTGTGATTGTGGGTTGAGAAATGGGAGACTCCGAAGGGAGATACCTGGTAATGAATACTCTTCCATAGATACCCACTGCATTTCTGAATCACGAATAATCCAGGCAGCCATTGATTTTAATTGAGCTGCCCAATAGTACATTCTGAAGTTAGGCAACTTGAGGCCCCCTTTTTCCTTTTCAGACATTAACACTTTGAGTCTGACCCTTGGTCGTTTATTCTGCCAGATAAATTTAGATGTAATAATTTGAATGCAGACTGAGGGATCAAAATGGGTAGGTGCTGAAATAGGAATAATAGGCGTGGAAGAATATTCATCCTTATACATTCAATCCTCCCCATAAAAGTGAGTGGGAGTAGGTTCCATCTGTCCAAGTCCCCCCTAATCTCCTTGAACAACCGATCATAATTGAGTGCAAGTAGCTGATTGGTTTTAGGAGTAATAATTACCCCAAAGTATCTGAAGCCCTGTTTGGAGCGTCTAAAAGATACAAGATGATCTAGCTGTGTGGGCCTCAGATTTATTGGTATTTATTTTATAACCTGACACTGTACCATAATCTTTAAGGTTGCTCAGAAGGGCCGGGACAGACGTGACCGGATTCTCTAAAAATAGCAGAATATCATCTGCGAAAAGTGACAGCTTATGTTTTGTATTGGTTTCATCTCTAATTCCTTGTATGAGAGGGTTGGATCTGATCAGTTCAGCTAACGGTTCAATACTAAGAGCAAATAAGGACGGCGATAACACTTCACCCTGTGTAGTGCCGTAAAAAAAAAAAATTCAACCGACACTCGTCAGTCCAGTCGACATATTCGCACATGCACAGACTTTTTGGTGGGCGGAGCAATGTAATCATGCACGGATTTGCGCGTTAACAAGAGGAAGTCCAAACATGGACGAACTCATTTCCCAAAAATGATGGCTGTCAGCGTTAACGCGGTCATCACGATTAAAAATTATTAACGCGCTCAAAACATCTGGAGCGCAGAGTGAACAAATGCATTGACAGAGACATTTCAGGGATTTTGACTCAGTCTGCGCACAGATGGGTTAACTGTTAATCGCATTTGTCTTGATGACGGCACATTAACGCTGACAGCAATAAAAAATATATAAAGTCACCAATTTGGGATTTCTTTGGCTTTAAACCAGATGAAAGAGGTAAACCTGAGGATGTAACCAAAGCGGTGCAGACGAATAGTGCGAGCAAAGGACTCAAACACGACTAACTTGCATTAACATGTACGTGCTGAGTATGCTAGGCTATCACCAGCTTCTGCAGGAACAAGCATTTGCTCACAGATGAAACAGCGTGATATTATTATGTTTTTTCTGTTGACTGCTTCTATTAGCTCCATCACTATTAGCAAACTTACTGATGGGCAAATAAATAAATAAGTCACTCTTGTAAAAACGATCGCCAGTGGGCTCAGCCTATCGGCGATAGTCGATATATTCGTTCAGTCGCCCAACCCTAACAGACACACAGAGTCTAAACAGACATAAACTGCAGACTTGACAACTCGGTGGAGCAAATCAGCAGCAAAGC